TTCCTTCCTTCCTTCCTTCCTTCCTTCCTTCCTTCCTTCCTTCCTTCTCCTCTCTTCTCCTCCCTCCCTCCCTCCCTCCTCCATCACTGGAGGTTTTAAAGAAGAGATTGGATAACCTATTTGTCTGCAGTGGTGTAGGGTTTCCTGCTTAAGCAGGGGGCTGGACTAGAAGACCTCCAAGGTCCCTTCCAACTCTGTTATTCTAAGTTCCAGCTGCATTTTCTTTACAAAAGGAGATCTTAATTTGGGGGCTCCACAAATTACTTGGAGATCTGTAGATAAATTTCAGGAGGAACATGAATTTTTTTGGGGGGAAAAAAGACAACTGTTTTTTTTTCTTTTTACTAACTTCTAAACGAATATTAGCTCCTTGTGCCCTGATGCATATAGGCAGCCAAGTAATTTATGGTTCCTGAACTCCAAAAATGTTTGTTAACCTCAATGCATCTCACCACTTAAAGTTATTATACCCTAAAGGCTAGTGTTAATTATTGATTTAATAGATCAATGCAGAAACACACACATGTTACCTATTTGTTATTTCGGTAACGGTGTTTTCAACCCCCATTGATCGTCTTTTGTGATCTCATCTGTATCGGTGGGTTTTCTTGTATGCCTTTGAATACATTATCCTGAGAAAAAGATTATAGATTTTAAGCAGGGTCTTAAAAGGGTCCAAGCAAGCCAACCCCCCCAGAGGCCCCCAGAAGGTGGCAGATAATTTGCAGTATTTATGCCGCTTTTAAAATCAGGCCGAAGCTGACAACGTAATGAAGCCAACTTAGCCCCCACCCAATTGTGTTGCAACTAACCCCCCCTTCCTCGTCCCAGGTGAGGAGTCAGGGAGAGGCTGTTCTCCAAAAGATCTGGAAGACATTAAGAAGGCAGGACTTGATTTTTACACCTTTCCATCACAATGTCTACAGGCCGTCCTCGACTTTTAGGGTTTTTTTTCCTGAGCTTTTGCTTTTTTTTCTCTTCTTCCTTCCTTCCTTCCTCACTCCTTCCCGCCCTCCGTTTCATACCATCTCTCAAACTTCCTTCCTTCCTCTCTACCTTTCTCTTCCTTCCTTCCTCCCTCCCTCCCTTCCTCTTCCTTTCTCTTCCTTCCTTTCTCTTCCTTCCTCCCTCCCTTCCTCTCCCTTTCTCTTCCTTCC